CAGTAGAAGCAGCCTCTAGCTTGGGCTCTTTTTAGCCTGAGGAAATTTAAGCCCACATCTGCAGCCACAGTGGTTGCTAACAGGGAGGCTGTAGGGTCATCCAGTCCTTGGAGCATGTACCCATGGTCACGTTGATTGGGCCAAGGGACATCAGTAAGAGCAAGCTAATGAATGGAGTACAAAGCTGCAAGAGCAGAAATTTCCTCAAGCGGAGGAGCGCTCCAGCCCCACATGGGTCCCCCATAAAAGGGCTCCTCTCCTGCTGTGGCTGGTGCACGACTTCGTGATCGAGGGACAGGGTCGTCCGTGTGGCACAGTCTCCAACAGTGCTGTTCCCTCCCAGGGGTGGAGAGGGAGTAGGACTAATTCATGTCTTGAGTATGCAGGCTAATAAGTCAGAAGAAGTGTTACTCACCCTGTTTCTCCATTAGGTCACTACTGTATTTTTCAAAAGGTTTCTTCTCGTTCCAGTGACGAGTCAGTCCATGTTTTTGCTCAGTAACACCAGTGCTGATTTGGGGACGGGAAGTTTTTATTCATGGACTGATCTGAAGGTGTTGCTTCCTCTCACTCCGAGTTCCCTGAGGAAAGGAAGCAAACAGAGCTGCTCTTCCCTGCGGCGCTGCCAGCCCTTCACGGATCGGTGCATGCCTGCTCCTTCTTGCCCCGTACAGTAACTCTTTACAGGGGCCAGGAAAAGCAATGTGAAATGTCTAGGGGCAAGACTAGCTTGAGGATGCTACCCTCTCATTCCTGTATATCTGCTGCAATGTGCCGTCCTCTCAGCTATACCAATAAGAATTTGAACTAAATTTTTTTAAGTGAGTTTGTTTACTGATATGGTTCACGGTATATAACCACAGCTGGCCTGCAGGCTACACCTGAAAGGGCACCGTGCTACCGTATGTGGGCAGGACAGCACCCAGGGATGAAGCTGGAGGTGAAACATATTTCAGTCCTCTTTGTTGCAGACTCTTTTGTACTTTGCATCTGCCCGTGCCAGTTTTCAACAGCTTGCAGCTTTTGCCTGGACACTCGTATCTCCTTGACCCTATCTTTTAAAATTGAAGCATGAGTCTGGAAATTCAGGCTTTTTATTTTCCTTTTCTGGCCCCTAAAATTTACAGGGAAACTAGTGCTGTAAAATTCAGCTTCAAACACAAGGAGAATGCATTTCTGGTTTCTTGGTATTTGGTTTGCCAACCACTGGATGTCAGTGCTGCTCCACTGAAGAAAAGCTCTTCCCCGCTTCCTTCCCTGTGGATGTGAAGGAAATGAGAGTGGAGGCTCCTGATTTTTGTCGCTGAAATACTTGAGCGACATCTGCATTTCTTGGAAAAAATTGCCACAGAGATTAAAATATTTCTTAATTGCACGTATCGAAAACAACTACCATGTTTCAAACCTCCAATTCTCAATGCAAGATGAGAGACAAGATCGTGCATAGGGAGTTGCTGCAGTCTGTTGGAGCTTATGGGCTTGATGAGTCAGTCTGTGGACTGTCCAATAAGTGAAATACAGCTGCTGGAAAAAACTAAAAGTATGATCTTACTAGAGGTATAAATGTAGTGCTTTTATGGCTTGCAAATGGCACATTTAGCAACACCTGATTTTTCAAGCTTAAAAAGTAAAACTTGCTGACAGATGTGAGGAGATTAAGTTGGATATGTAGCAAAAAGCCTGTCTAGACCTCTGGTTTTATGTTTTAAAAAGGTATTAAATACAGATCAAAAAATGCTTAAAAATTGCTCACAGATGTGTTGTTCAGTTCAGGCTTTTGTAATAGGTTTGGCTTTTTTAAATTACGTTACGTTACTTACTGTCTTTCATTCTTATGCTCTTCACCATTTTGTTCCTAAGTATGACTTACCTACACGACCAGAAGTGAGAGAAGTAAGCAACCAAAAGATTTGGGGGTTTTTGCAGTGTTTCCCTTGTTTCTGTTGAAGGCAGTCTGAAATGTTGTAGCTGGCTGTCTTTGTTATTGGAGAGCAAAAAGATTTCCTAGCTAAACTGCTGAAAGCGCGGGTCAGTGGCACAGTGCATCAGATACTGCCTTCTCCTTTGAGGCAAAAGGTGCTATTAATTTCCACTGTATTTTACATGGAGCTCTTGAATGGCGTTCAGCTGGCATGCCGATTTTGAATGTGTAACACCCCGTTTTCCTCCATCTTAACATAACTGTATCACCAAAATTAATCCAGGTGAATATATGTGTAAAGCAACACAGTTCTGGTATTAATTTGTTATTAAACTCACAATGGAAAATCTTCTATGCAGCCAACTTAACGTACCTAGGTAGCATATCCACTTTATCTCTGTAAATGGCTAAATAAGTTGTCTCTTGTAGCTTGTCCTACAAATGGAAGTATTGCAATCTCTAATCAGCTGAAATCTTTTGAGAGGGATCTGTGGAAGGAAAGCAACAGTGGCCTGAACCGTGCATTTAAACAGTCGGTCTAGCACTTGTATGTTGGTAGCTGATAAATATGATTAGCTGCAGCTACTTCAGGCATAAAAAAACTGAGCTGGAGGATTTTAGTCAGTAAACCATACTTGTAGAGATAGTGCTGTTTCAGAGGTTGCTTACAGCATGCCTGAGTAAGAGAAGAAATGCCTTATTAGATCGGACTTAGTTACAGACTGTTTTGATTCTGTAATTTTCTTTTCCCACAGGACCAAAATTAATAGTTTGTTTCTACCAATTTCTTTTTTTTTCCTTGGTGGGTGAGAAATACATATTGATGCTGTTCCCTGACAATAAGTGAAATACATCCTTCTTCACCAAAAAACACTCCTTAAATACCTGTAGATCTGTTACATGAGTTCTTTCCACATTTAACTTCGTTGAGTTTCAGAAACTCTGGTTATTTCTGATGATTAAGGTAATTTTTCAAACACAGGAATGTTTCTGTGCATTTAAGCTTTTTATTGTATATAGAGAAATATAACTATGGAAGTCTGCATCTGTAAGTTTAAAAGTTTCTATTTGTCAAGAATAATTTCTTAATATGTAATAGTTGTCTGTGAAAGGTCAGATTCTCCCTCGTAGAGACTTTACTTGCTAAAAGATGAAAAAACAAGTCTTTTGCCCATTGAAATCAAAAGTGCTATGTCTCTGGGTTTGGTGATAGGAATTGTATTATTATAGTTGGGAAAGGGGCTAGTGATCAGGTAGGGACACTTCCAGGTGAGGAAATAGCTGGACTGGTTGTAGTTAGGGAGACTGAACAGTCTCATTTAGGGATGCAGTTGGGGAAACGGACATTACAATTGCAAATGAAATCCATTGTTGATAAATGTGATTAATAAATATTGGAAAGTGTGGACTGAATTACTCATTTTGCTTGTTTCTAAATCATCCGTCATTCTTCAGGAAAAAAGACCTGAGTCCAGGTCCACAGTAAAATTGAAATGCAGTGTGTTTTAAATGGATACATAAGTGCTTTTCATGGCACGCCAAGCTGGAACCCACCGATACAGATGCTTAAATTGAAAAAATTTAACAGGAATGAACATAGGCAATAGTTACATTTCCTGTGTCACTCTTTCTGACACTGGTTAGTCTTGCATGTTTGGTTGACGCAATTGTCATCTGTCATGTTGACTACTAGAAAGATGTATGTTATAGCCAGATACATGCTTGATTGAACCTGTTACTTGAATGTCCATTCAATGCATTTGTAGGGTTAGAAACTGTTTATTTTGATCAAAATTTGTCGTCTTGTTATTGTGATAGCATTCCTTGTCAAATTTTGTAAAGGCATTACATTTTCAAATGATCTATAAATCCTTGGCCTTTTTCTAAAATTTGGCAGCCCTTCAGTGTTCATTTTCTCGCTTTATTCCTCGTGAGTTTTCTACATGGTTTTTGTTTGGTTTCTCACATCTCTCTCGTTTTTTTTCCCCTCTTCTCCTTTCTTTCAAGGAAGGAGCCCATTGAAATTGCGCCAGGTTTGAAACCTGTCCTTGGCAGTCTACTTTTTAAAAATTTTTACTTCTATCTGTTAAAAAAAAAAAAAGTACAATTGCACAAATTTGGCCAAAGCTGTTACCTTCTTACATCGGTGAAACGTGACTGCATTTTGACTAGGGAATGGAGGGTTTAATGGGTTTGGTAAGGTTGTGTATTTTAAGCTACGTTTGTTATACCTGAAAGTTTAACCATGACTAATAAATAGTAGAGATCATATCTTGTCTGCCATGGGATTACATTTTTCCCACGAGTAACTGCTTTTCTGACAGTTCTTGCAAATCGAGATAGTCTTATGCAGAGCAGCTGACATGAGCATTTCATGTGCTGCTGCTGTGCTTCTAGCAAGTTTACTTACTATGTTTAAATCTCTTTTATTGTGAAAGGGCAGAAATTAATGAGTTTTGCCTTGCTACAACAATGTTCGTAACTTTGCTAATTATGCGGATTCTGCATGTGGACTGTATAAAGCCAACAGAAACCCTTTATAGACAGTCCTTCTACTGGGTAAATCTGATTTTAAAGAGTCTTGGAAAAAACCAGCACCATCTTACTGCGATGTTATGCAGTAGGTTGAGCCAAAGGCACAGTCCATCCTAAATTGTGATATCTGATGTTTTGAAGGGGACCCCCATTTTGGCAGATGCAGTTTGGGGCTTTTTCTTCCACTGTTCTCTGCTGGCAACACAAGCAGCGAGGTGGTGGTGGTAGGCATGTCTCTCTGCAGGGTCCATGTAATGCCATCCACCTACACAGGGGGAAGGAAGCATGTAGCTGTTGAGGCAGTAGTCATTGTTCACCAGCTGCATCCTACCTCTTTCAGGAGGCAAAAAAGCTTGCTGGCTGGAAGCAAGCTGCTCGTTGGGTCTCGTACCTCTGTGATGCTTAAGCTATATTACCTTTTATATCCTGTTTCTCTTTTAATCTGAAGAATAGCCATCAGTGAAGATTTCATTTGCACAAAGATGTTCTTAAGCAGTTCTGCAAATCACAGCGTGAAAACTAATAAAATCAAATCTTTTTACAGATGCAAATACTGGCATTATGATGATAACCTGCTCACCTCCAGCGTTGTCATTGTCTTCCATAATGAAGGATGGTCCACACTCATGAGGACAGTCCACAGTGTCATTAAGAGAACTCCAAGGAAATACTTGGCAGAAATCGTGCTGATTGATGATTTTAGCAACAAAGGTATATTTGGAATATTAACAGAATACTTGTAGAAAAGGAAGCTTTATTTTTTCTTTAAATAGTTTTCTTCTCGTTTATTACGTGCCATGGAGAATTGAGTTGACTCTGCAAGAAAAGTAAGTTGCTTCTTCACAGTCCTTTCAGTTTTCAGTGAAGGGAAAGCTCTTTTCCAGTGAACTGCTTTCATAAAGGTGGCAGTCCTTTATGTGTGTTCAGCTGTTTGAAATATAGGATTTGTGGTGGACTCTCTACCACAGTTGTGGAGTAGTATATAGTAGAAAGCTGGGATAGCTAGTACCTCTGTTAGCTCTTATGAAAACAAGTAGTTTTAAGAGTATTGAGGGAGTTTAAGTTAAGCCTATTTAGGAATAATTTCTTGCTTCATTCCATATAGGAATCCAGATTCCGGTTTTTAGGGGGGCTGGGTTTTTTTTTACTATCATAAAAATGTATCTAAGGCTATTGAATTATTCTGATCCATTTTCAATATCTTTCTAATTTCCAACATCTTTTTTAATTAAACATCACGTTAAGGTGTTTATTGTTTCTTATTGGGGGGAGGGGCTTTTAAGAATTTAAGTGTGTTTTAATTTCTGCCTTTCTTTGAGTCTTGCATAGCAACATTTTCAGAAGTCCAGAGGTTTTCCTTTTCCTTTGTAATATCCATTCTGGTCTTGGTTTATAGTCAGAATGTATGTACTTAGGTGTGATTCTTATATACATAAACATACACTGACTTTTTTCCTTTAATGGTGATATCTTCAGTGTTAATGCAAATTAAGGGGAAGAACTGGAAGTGGTATGCTAGAGATACAAGATGATTGATACAGAGGAATTCTGTCTGGTTTTAAGCTTTAAACAAATTTCAAAATAGTGCACCAAAGCTGCACAGTCTGCAAGATTTTATTGCAGCATAGTTCTTGAATAGAAGTTGACAGAGAAAAAGAGTAGATGCGCAAATAAAAACATCACTTTAGGTGTGCGGGATGACAGTTTCTTCTAGACAATGATGATGATGGCTTTTGAGAGCACAGGCGAGTTTGAACTGGTCAGCAGCATAGGATACATTCCCTTTACCCTCCTCTTTGTTTTTATAATAGCTGAATTGGGTAGTGGCATGGAAAGCAGATGACTCTGTTCTGAAACTCTCCGTTTTATCAAGTGATCTGGGCTTCTCCCAGTTCCAGCCTCACAGGAGGTTGTTTGCTGTGGGTATACCAACTATAAATTTTAAAACTGAACTCATCACATAGTTGGGGTTGCCTTTTTTGAGTATAAATCATCATTAAAAGTAGTTATTGTATGTTAATTTTTACATCATACCTTTAGGTAGGTAGGTATCTTTTTCTGTTTGTTTTTACAGGAGAGGAAAAGTTACCTGTATTGTAAACTTGACTACATCTGGCTTAGTCTAATAAAGATACTGATTGCTACATTATAGTCTCCTGTATCCTTTTACAGCTTTTGAGAATTTGGCTTAGATACACACACACGCTATAAAACAAAAATATCTTCTCTCCTAAGGGATATAATTTTAATAATGCAGTCAGCAGACATGTGCTGTGTTTCTCCTTTTCGTCTGGGATCACAGCTTTCCTTCAGAGCTATTCAAGGACCGAGTCAGCTGTATAAAATAACGACGACACTGATGGTCTCTAGAAAAATAACCAGATTTTTTACTGATGATTGGACTCAGTACTTGGGTTTCACATGAGTTGTAGGTGACTCTGTGCTGTGTATATGTAATTCATGGAATGAGTTTGTCTGGCATAACAACTTGTACTACAGTTTTCCAATATATATCGATTGTTAAATAAAGGCAGTATTTTTCAAGAAATTTGTTTTGAAATACAGAACTTTACTTATGCTTTCTGCTCATATATGAATGGTTAGCAGATACAGCTAGCCTGGACCTAACATCCAGCAGACCCTTGTCTCTATATTTCCCACACTTCATTTTCCCAAGTAACTTTCTTGAATCAGAAAATTCAGTAAAGCAAGCTCAAGATGCAATTTTCTCATGTATGAGTGATTGGAAAACAAGCACGGACTGGAATGGCTCTGAACACCTTGCTGCAACTGTACTGTTTCACTATAATAAGTCTTCAAACTGCTTTAGGCTATTACTTGGTAAACATAATTAACTTAATTTCAATAATTCAAATTGCATTCTAGGTGAAAAATGGCCAGGAGAGTAGAATCTTGCTCCACTTCTTTCTCCCCAGAGAGAAGCATGAACTAGTACAGGCTGCGAAGAGTGCCAAGCTGCCTGAAGAGATCTCCAGTTGTTAGGAGAGCTGCAAAACACAAACAGTCTTAATCATAGCAGAGCTGCCGGTGGCTTTTTGCTTTTTCAGCCAGAAGAAAAGCAGTGCTGGCAGCACAGATACAGGATTTTCTCCTTCCCCACCTGCTTTCAGACTGCACACTTCATACCTGCCTTTCCACCCAGGAAAAAGCGTCTTATGCTTTTTGAGACCAGTGTTGAGGGACACAGATGCTGGACTGGGTAGACATTTGCTCACACTCGGTGTGGCTGTCCTTATTTCTTAGCTGCCGCCTTCTCCAGCGATACGAAATTAAAATGGAGCGTAGTGGTTGCAAACACTTCTAAAGGCTAGCTCATAAAGAGCCCAGCCTGTCCTCCTTTACGAGAAATCCTCTTTCATCAGAAGGGAGTTACAGCTGCATAGAAGCTTATATATATTATGCCTTACAGGGAGGAACAGTTGCAATGCTTGGAAAATGTTCTTTTCATTGTAGTTCTTTATACAAAGTCAGTTGGGAGCAGTCTTTTTGCTGAACGACACTCTCTCTTCCTTCCTTAATCTCTTCTGCAAACAGCAGGGTTTAACTGTGGAGGACTGCATGGAGAGATGTGCTGAGTTCTGCTCGGGCATTTTTTCCTTTGTCAAAGCACAGAGGGAACAGTAATAAGAAGATGACACCAAGCTAATTGAATGATGCTAGTTCTGGTATTTTCAATGGACACCTCTGTATTAATGCATGTTAGAGTCCAAGAGTGTTGCAACAGCTTCTATCACAGTGTCAGTGTGGCCACGCTGCTGCACATGCTCCCCCCCCGCCCCAGTTTTTCTTGTGCTTCTTGATAGAAACAGTTTATTTTGCTGTGAGTGCTACCTGTGTGGAGGATGCAGCTGTTCTGGAAGGGCAATGAGAATTCATAACACCAGATTTTCTGAAGCTCCCTACAATTACAGTTGTGTATATAGGTCTTCAACAACTACTTGTTATGTATTTAGGTACCAGCTTTATTTCTTTTTGAAGCGTAAAGGTCAGCTGGTGCAGCTCGCTTTTGTAGCCCGTGCACCTGTAAAGAGTGACTGCAAGGTAAATACCAATGTTCCTAGTAGTGTTTAAAGGCTTTGTCTACCTTTTGTGTTTCCTTATTTTTTCTTTATAGCTATCTGTATTTCCCACTAATGCAGCATCCTGTAAGATAACCAAAGGGGAAGTAATGAGCGTAGAAAGGTAACAGTATTTTTATTAACTTGTTTAACAGTGCTTGCAGTGAGGAAACTGAAGCATTAATCAGTGCTTGTGTTAGAGCTAAGAGCGAGCACCCCACGTTAGTAGTATTACAGTACAGGGGACTCAGGGGCAGCTGCTTTAGGGAGGACTTCTGATACCATTTTTCTAGTTCTCAAACTGACATCCATGAGTCGAGGGGAAAAAACCTGCTTTCCTCCTCCTCTCCCACCTTGTAATCTGCAACGCCTAAGATCTTTTGGAGAAAGGACGTGTTTTTAAAAAACATTGATCCATGCTTTAATCATGCACTGAGACATGAGAGAAGAACCCAAACAAGGGAAGACCAGATTAGATGGTTATAATATTTTGAAAGGTAAAATACACATTTTTAAACAAAAACCAGAATGCTGTAAGGCTGTTAACAGATGTCATAAATACACATTCTAGGTGAACAAAATTTAATGTTGGCCAAACAGTATTTCTAACTGTAAAAGTATCAGGATTTTATACACTACTGTCATGCAGGCTTTGTAGTATGGGAAGGAGGGAAAATTCAGTTTTCCTGTGGGAAATAGCACTTGCTGCTAACCCTGGCATCGTTTCAGATAATGGACTGCAAAGTCCTGAGACTTGTACTGTAGAAAAGCTTTACACAATCAATATGACAGGTTTTTACAGCTCCCTGTGAGCCTTACATAGTTGAACATTTGTTAACTAAAACATTTGGCTTCATAGGCAGGAGAGCTGGAAATAACTTCAGGTTTTAAATCTTTAAAACATTCCTGACAGTCCTTCTGTAACATGTACTTGGAATTTGCAGAATAAATAATGGTGTGGTATAAAGATTCTCTTAGTACCACTTCAGTATGACCTCATAACTCTTGTTGATTTTATCCTATAAAAATTTATATCACAGCTATCCTATCATATATTCTATATATATATTACATGGCATATTATTCTATACAGCATGTGATAAAATTGTTTTCTCTAGTTTGATATTTATGTATCCTTGAAGTTTTCCTAATGCACAAGGATTTACAAAAGAAATTGTAAATATGTGTGGGAAAGGAGAAGAGGATACGTAAAACTTTTAGTTGAGAAACCTTATTCTTTTATGAAGTTGAAGAGGAGGGATAACAAGAGTATTAAAAGATAGTGGTTTCAGAAGATTGTTCTTTGGTATAATTGCTGAATTTTCAAGTTTGGAAACTTTGCTTCCAAAAACCACCACTTCCATTTCAATTATTTATTTGTAGCCTTTGTTAAAACTATCATTCTTTAAATACTGTTGGCAAGAATATAAAACATACTGAAATGTAAGTAGCAGCAAGGTCCAGACTTCAATCATTTTCATTCAAGGTGCAGAAAATGTTGCTGCTGAAGCAACCTGATGGCTTGTTGCTGCTGGAAGGGACATCCTTCTCCTTCCACCTCTGCACATCCCCTCTCCTGTTAGATCAGCACAGACATGGCATCTAGCAGCCTCTCGGAGCTGGTGCAAACCAGCGCATGGATGCCTCGGCTGTAGCTTAGGTGGCTTATTCTGGTTCCCAACTGAGAGAATCTGAAGCTGCAGGCAATTCTTTTGAGCCTTTCAGTAGAAAAATAGATTTTAAATGAACACTGGTAGTTAAATCAGCGTAGCCTCAAATGGCCAGTGCCTGGCTGCCGGCCCTTCGGCCTTTGTGAGTTTTCTCAACAGAATCATCTGTGCAAAAATATTATGCAATACTAGGATCCTTTTTTTCAAATTGTGTGGTAGGAATGTGGTTTCTAGATCAGTTTGGCAAAGACCAATGTGCAAATACAAATCGGTAACCATTTAAGTGTAGCCCATCTTGATTCTTAGGCAGTTACTCATCCCTTTACTGACCAAGTCCCTTTGGCTAAAGGTTTCCTGGCTCATCAGTGTGATGAGCTACAGCTCATTCACTGCAATTTTGGCCCTCCAGTTATTAATTTCATTAGAAGATTACCGTAAGACCACCCAACCCCAAGAGGGAACAGGTCTAGATGAGGGAGGGCAATAATTTGAATATGGGGGGTTTCTGTCTCAGGTTTCCAGGTGTCCTGGTTTCAGCTGGGATAGAGTTAATTGTCTTCCTAGTAGCTGGTACAGTGCTATGTTTTGAGTTCAGTATGTGAAGAATGTTGGTAACACTGATGTTTTCAGTTGTTGCTCAGTAGTGTTTAGACTAAAGTCAAGGATTTTTCAGCTTCTCATGCCCAGCCAGGGCACAAGAAGTTGGCACAGGATACAGCCAGGGCAGCTGACCCAAACTGGCCAACGGTGTATTCCATACCATGTGACGTCCCATCTAATATAGGAACTGGGAAGGGGGGGCAGGGAATCGCCGCTCGGGGACTGGCTGGGTGTCAGTCAGCGGGTGGTGAGCAATTGCCCTGCGCATCATTTGTACATTCCAATCCTTTTATTACTACTGTTGTCATTTTATTAGTGTTATCATTATCATTATTAGTTTCTTCTTTTCTGTTCTATTAAATCGTTCTTATCTCAACCCAGGAGTTTTACTTCTTTTCCCGATTTTCTCCCCCATCCCACTGGGTGTGGGGGGGGAGTGAGTGAGCGGCTGCGTGGTGCTTAGTTGCTGGCTGGGGTTAAACCACGACACCAGGTCTAATAGACTGACAGAAAATTTTGTGAGGCAGAAAGTGAGTGAAGAGAAATGTTTAACTGAGAAGTGGTGCCTTCAACTGCACATGCGACTTTATCTGCTGAGGAAAGACCATGTGCTGAAGTGTAGAAGCTTCTCTGCCTGACTGAAATACAGGCAAAGACCTGAAAGCCACTGTGTGATATATGGAAGTGACTGGGAATTGTCCACCCACCTGCCCTGCGGTGTGGCCAACCGCTTCAGCTGCTTTTTCTTCAGATATGCCAGAGCCAGACCTGTGCCATGAAGTCAGAGAGCTCCAAGTCTTGATCTCTTCATGTTTAGTGTTTGTGAGCGGTAGTACGAGCAGTCGAATTAAAGATTCTTCTAAATGTCTGCAGATATTTTTAAGTAGAGTTGGATTTGGGTTGTATTAAGAGTACAAAACTGTTTCTTATTAAACCTTACCAAAATTATTTTTTTTCTTGTTATTTGATAGCACACTTAAAAGAAAGGCTGGATGAGTATATTAAGCAGTGGAACGGCCTTGTAAAGGTATTTCGAAATGAGAGGAGAGAAGGTTTAATCCAAGCTAGGAGCATTGGCGCCCAGAAGGCTAAACTTGGACAGGTAGGAGCCGGTTCACACACAAGTCTGTCTTATTTTTCTTTTTTGGGAGGAGAGGTGGTGGTGGTGGTGGTGGTTCTATGTTCAAATAGGTGTGTAGAAACATAGTATTGTATTATCAATATTGTTTTAAAAAGAGATTAATTCTACTTATTTAAACGTCTTTTTTTTTTTTATAATATGAAAGCATTTCAGTGTAAATAAGCTTAATTAAATCATCATGATCTCATATACAGAAATGTAAATGTCTTTACTCTTTTTCTTTTGAAGGTTTTGGTTTACCTTGATGCCCATTGTGAGGTGGGAATTAATTGGTATGCACCACTTATAGCTCCTATATCTAAGGACAGGTAATGTTCTCCCATTATTTCCAGTGTCTGGTCTCTTAGGAAGAAAAAGTCACAGTAACAATCTTTACTTTTCAAACTATAGTTTTATATCTATATCAGTATATATCTATATCAAACTACATCAATATTTGCTGTATGATTATTTTATTATCTCCCAGCATAAAAGTTATGTAAGGAGGAAGGAAAGTAGTCAGGCAAATAAATCTCTGGATAATTTATTTTAATAGGCATACTGAATATTTTGCTTAGTGTAGATTAAATATAAGACAGCTCTTGTCTTTTGCAGTGATCTGAGGGACTGTTATAAAAATGTTCTGTTCTGGCTGAATAAGGAACCTGATTAAACAAAATAACTAAACAAAAATGTGATTTTTGGTAGAGGAAAAGTAGCAGTAAGTGTTTTGATTTAATGGGGGTTTAAAGTCGCCGTGATCTCAAGAGTTTTATAACCTTCTCATCTTTGGTCTTGCAATATGGTCTTATTTGTTTCCTCTGAAGCATTTTGGAGCATTGTCTCTAGTGAACCAAGGCCAGCGCTTGAGCCTGTCTCTGCCTCAAGCCCAGGCACTTGCTTGGAGTCAGTGGTGGAAATGCCTGCGCTGTGTGCGTGGGTGACAGAGGAGGGACGTCCCCAGGGGCTTCATTTCTTCCAGCTGTTGAAATGCTGCTGTTGCTGTGTGCTACCACGCTCTTAGCTTGTGTGGTCAGGGGGTATGTGTGTTTAGGAAACCATGCGCTCGTGTAAACTCTTTAATCCCACAAAATAACTGCTCAGTCCTAAAAACTATTTGTTAACCTGTCGTACTACCAGAACTTTCTTGAAGAGGTGGAATTTGTGTGTTTTAAAGGCTGTAACTCAGCTTCAAGACTGTATTTGGACTCGGATACTAGAGAGAAGATGGAAATGCTTGTGTGCTTCCATCGAGTATGTGTTACTCTTTTACATGAGAAAGGCTGGTGAGAACAGGCAGCTTTACAGGCATCCTCCAGCACCTCCCGCACAAGCAGAGGTTACGTGAGGACCAGCGATGCTGAGGCGTGCGGTGCCAGGAGGGCATCGCTCAGCAGCCTTCTTCCGAGCCCTGGTAGCCTGGGTGCATCGTGCTGCCGCTTCTGCCTCATAGAAGAGCACGGCGTTAGCGTTTCTTTTCACCCCGCTTATTTTCCTGTCTCAAAGAATTTGACTTAAAAAGATGGAAATGCTCAAAGTTTGGTCGACTGGGAAACTCATTTGGAAAATTTGGGGAGAATAACAAGATAATGTCTTTTTCTTGGTGAATATTGTATGTGACAGATCACAGTGAGAAGTATATTGCAAATCAAACAGGAAAAATTCTACTGAAGACTGCTGCTAGGAGAGCACCAGTAACATTTTTTTTATCCTGAGAGGTTGGATTTGCAGGGCAGTCGAATAGGACAGAACAGTGAAAATCCATGTTTACACTAGTAAAAGCTAAGAGCTTATCATACTTGTTGACAGCTAAGATCTAATATGAATAGAAATTACAAGAAATAATAATACTGTGAGAACCCTAGTCCTCTAAGGGCTCCTCTGTTGCCTCCAGCAGTGCTTTATTAGAAGACCCATGTCAAGAAATACACATAAAGGAAAAAGTACTGATAAACAAATTGATATATTAGCATTTCAGACCTAACTTTTCTGCTTTCAGAACCTCTTAAAACATAAAGCAAGGTCTATCTCTTTTTTCTTCTAATGAGGCTTCATTTTTTAATAATATGTTTACAAGTGACTTTTCATATAAACTGCTCTATAAGCTTAATAATTAAAGGTGTAAACTTCAGATTAGACAGATTACTCTTCTGAAATTGTATTTTGCTCTCTCTTTCCCTTCTATAAATGTTTCAGAACTACATGTACTGTACCTCTAATAGATTACATAGATGGGAATGATTATTCCATTGAGCCACAACAAGGTGGGGATGAAGATGGTTTTGCCAGAGGGGCCTGGGACTGGAGTTTGCTATGGAAACGAATTCCGTTAAGCCACAAGGAAAAGGCCAAACGAAAACATAAAACTGAGCCTTATCGGTAAAGCGAGCTGTTTACATACTGTGCATCTTAATGAATAATTGTCTAAACCCTTTTGTTTTTCCCTCCCCCCCTCTTTTCCCATGAACTACGGTCGGTGCACGTGTGCCACGCGGGTCCTTGCACATAACTGCATCTTCCTTGCCACCATCCGCCACCCTGCAGAACCACATGCACTGTGCCGCTTATAGATGTCATAGATGGCAACACTTATAAGATTGTGCCCCAAGGGGGTGGTGACGAAGATGGGTTTGCTAGAGGAGCGTGGGATTGGAGTATGCTATGGAAGAGGGTTCCCTTGACCAAGCGAGAGAAGGAAAGCAGAAAGACAAAAACTGAACCGTATCGGTAATCACTAAATCACTTACCCGTTTCTTCTTTTTCTGAAGTCAATATTGATCCACTAAAACTTGCATGTACTTCTAGCCTGAAAATCTTTGTATTTCTAACCACAGCAGCTGCTTTGTTTAATCAGACCTGTTTGCCACAGCTGACTATTTGCTCAAAATACCTTTGCTACCTTGTGTTGCCTCTCCATTCCTGCTCTTGTGTGGTTAATAGGGTGCACATTAGAATGACAGGGGTTTGTCTGGCAGAATAAAATATTGTATGACTTTGTTTCCAAGGGAAAACTTTATTTAGTGATGATACTTTTTTAAAAGTAGTGTTGGAAACAACAGTGCTTATTTAACCATTTGATTTGAAATAACGAGCATGCTGTGAGTCTTTGTAATAGCCAGTAATGCATAAAATCTGTAGCCTGCTGTCATGGCTTGATGCATGCATACAGCTCATGGATTATGCAAGTGCATCAAAAAAATCCCTTTTGTCGTATTTCTCCCACTTGCTTCATAATAGATCCCATCTGACAAAGAAGCATGCTGTTTAAGAATCTTGGCTAGATATTTTCTAAGGTGTCAGTATGTTTGGGGATTTTAATTTAATACACACAACATTAAAAAAAAAATTTAAGACCACGACCTTATTTTCTGGGAAAACTCCAATAGCTTTCACAGAAGTCCCACCTTTTTCTTATGCTTTGTAAGGGGGTATGTTTTCTTCCTAGCAAACAGAAACTGGCTAGAAACCCTAGCTTAGAACTAGGGTTTCTGGATGGCTTTTCAAGACTGGGAGACTGTGGTTCTGCTGTTTTTTATTACTTTCCCCTTCACACTTAACTAATCGTGTTACTACATTTGAAAGCAATCCTCACATCTTCAGAATCTGATGTCTTCTATTGCTTGTATATATGATTTAAACATGGTAAGAACTGATGTTGGTAATTCCCTATCCTCACCCGTGATTGTTCTCTGCTAAAATGGCAACACATGCAAGGAAGTTATGAAGCTTTGATCTGTTTTGTATACAGTATAAATAATACCATTTTCTGACAAGGCTGTCCACATTGGAACTTTAATATTTGCTTAGAGGGGGATAAACTATTTCAAACATCACTGTTGTGTTCTGTGTTTACCATCCAAACAGGTCTTAAAATCCTTTAAACTGTTCCCAGAAACACAGAACACATGTTCTCAGAATGGTTTAAAAGATGACTTTATTTTTAATAATACTTCCAGAGTTACAATGCTTCCTTTAAAAAGAGACGTTCCCTGCATCTGTTTATGTCCAGGCTGTATGCATTTTGTTGCAGCAATACCAGGGCAAGTAGAACCATGTAAAAGTCTTGCTGAAACCATAGCCAGGATTGCTTAGTTTAAAAAGAAAACAAACAAACAAAAAAACCTCAACAGCTTAGAGTGCAGAAACAAACCTTTTGTAATGCGAGAATTGCCCCAGGACTGAATCCTTCTTTCAGTAATATTATGCTTACCTCTTCATATCCTATAAAATAAACTACTGACCTTATGCGGATTTTACTGTGTTCTTTAACACACTTGACAGCACGTTGGAGGCCAAGACTGAAACTTCAGCATCTGAGGCCTCTACACTTGCCAAGTCTTTATGGTGCTGAGGAAAACCAAAAATGCAGGAAAGCCACAGGGCTGTGCTATGCAACATGCTTCTCCCTGCTGTGCTCGCTGGCTTCCTACCCTTTGAACCCCTGTGATGCAAAAGCAGCGTTGGAGGAAAATACAGTAGGCAGACAAGTAGAAGGGGACATTTAGGAGTAACTCAGCATCTGATCAGGTGATTTGGAGAGCAAATAAACTGATAACCATTACACTTAACTCAGCTGATAGACCCAGCAGCTCTGGTTTTGTTGTTGCCCTGCCCCTGCTATGCGGAGGGGGTATTTGTTAACCCTACAGGTTACTTTTTCTTAAGCAGTTCTCCTCCAGACATTCGTGTGCAGAAGGGAAATAAATTATCATTGCTGTTAAAAGGAGCACCGCTAAGTTAAAAATCTAATGGAAGGAAGAGACTGAATAGTGCTAGAAATGACCCATATTCAATAATTTGGTCATGAAGGAATATTTCACTTGTGTTTTACTTGACTCACCAGAGTGATCTGGACTCTTGGATCCTCCTCCTTTCAGTGCTGCAGATCATCTGAAGTCAGAAAGAATCAACTTTTTCCTTACCAGCTTTTTTTTTTTCAATTGCCAACTTAGTAGGGACTCCAGCTTGTATCCATTAAGATTTTTATATATTTATTGATCCTCAGGTGAAAAATGCTTGGTATGTGCACTGGAAATGGCTTAACATGCCCTACTCTCTATTTCAGTGTGAGCAAGCTACCAAAGAATTTTGGTTAGAGCCATTCTGCAAAAATGCTCTAATCCAAACCGCCACATCTTTTTGACACATTAAAACTTGCTAATTGCACCTTGGCATACATGGAGGGATTTACAAAGCCATTTTTAAAAAAAAAACCTAAACCAAAATGGAAACCTTGTACAACTTGATCCAGGCCCTCTTAAAATTTTCACTGAGTATAATGAAAAGTGTCTCATATGGCAGTGGTAGAAAAAGAGCCAGAGGGAGAAGATAGAATGGTATTGTTTAGCTGGAAAAACTCTGTTGCTTGTTTAATAGACAATGTGTTTCAATGTGGCAGCTCCTCAGAACGTAAACCTAAGTCTGCTACGCAGTCTTATGTGTTATCTGAAAAACTTCAACAACTTTCAAAAGAGAAACATCTTGTCAAACTGATTCTTACCTTTGTTTATTTTAATAGAAGCATGCTGGCTGGCTGAATGGATAATTCCAACCAAAATTTTGTGTAATTAAATTTAAAAAAACCCCAAAAACAGACCCCCAAAAAACCAAACCCACAACATAGTAAAAACTGGGACTTCACTAGAAATTATACAGTTGTCGCTTCAGAAAATTGCTGGAAGCTGATGACAAAGCTTTATGATTTTTCAGTGTATTGCCATTTATCTGATCTTTATTATATGTTAGCAGTGAATTGCTTCCTTAATTAATGCTTTCTCCGAGTATTATCATCTCCTTTTGGCAGAAGGAGTTACGCTGTCTTACTCTTTCAGGTCCCCTGCAATGGCTGGTGGATTGTTTGCCATTGAACGCGATTTCTTCTTTGAACTGGGTCTCTATGATCCAGGGCTTCAAATTTGGGGTGGTGAAAATTTTGAAATTTCTTACAAGGTAACACCAAAAGTTGAAAACTAATTCAGTCTAGTAGATCTTTTTTCTGTAAATACTTCTGTTTGGCGTTCAGACAGACCTACCTCTGATTTGCACCACCTCTTGCCTCATGAAGCCCAGAAGGTTTTGTCGTGAGATGTTATGGCAGAGATGTGTGTCCTCAATGTTTCCTTGTGGGCTTTGGGGCAGAAGTCTTCAGAGAGGTGGCCCAGTGCTGAGACCCAAATGCTGAGTAATCTAGATTTTGTTAATGGTTTGGGATCACGCACACCCCTAAATACTTAATCTGAAAACAGACTGACAAATTTGATGGGGCGGGGGGGGACTGAGTGCTCTTATGGTGAGTATAGAAAAATTTGTTTTTGATGAAAGTGATTATAGAGAACAAGTAGCATTCAGTTTATGCATAGATGCCTGTAAAGTATATAACGATGCAACAAAAAGTAATCTGTGCTGGTTTCCTCCTCCCTACCATTTTTAGGGGTGGATAATGATCTCGTATACTTTTCAAAATTTCAAGAACTTCTTTACGAGAGAAGTCTTCATAATTGAAACCTTAACTGCATAATTCATAATCACTGCAGAAGATTTTATTTTCACTCCTAGGCACATGCATGCTCTTCAGTTAGCAGGAAATGTAAGATGATAATCATTAGCTTCTTGTACCTTCAGTGTTCATAATGACACAAGTGGCAGACAGCAGGAATCTGTCCCAATTAACAAACAAAAGTGGAGACATCTAATATCCTCAGTAGCGATCTGTGAAATTGTAGCTGAATTTTACTAAAAGTACATTCAGAGCTCCCCTAGCTACTCTTGCTCTTCGTGGTTTTGAGGAGAGCTCCAAGTGCACTTGCTCAGCTGTAAATCCATATGCAAAAGGTAGTTATTAAGGATGTTACACATACAGGGTCTTTATCCTTCTAATTCTCCATCTTGCTTAGAGCTAAATCATGATTGAAATTACATACAGTAGTTTTGTAATTGAAGTGCTGATTATGTAGAGACCTCCAAATTGGTTTCACGTAGATCACAACTAATCTGAAGGACTAAACAACATTTAGCAGTCCTGCATGCTGACTGCTAGATAGCAAATACAATGGCCTTGCATATCTGAGGGGGTTTTTTGATGGAAATTAAGAAAATTAATATGATGATGCAATGAAGAAAGTAAACTATTCTGCCTATCTTTCCTAATACTCTTAAATCATATTTTTAATCTGGAATTCAGACTAATTTGGAACATCTCCAAAGTTAGCTTGAATTTCGATTTGATGCTACATTTCATACTTGTCAAAACTATGAGCAACTATATTCAGATTTAGGTATGTTTTCTTTTCTGCATAAATGCATTATCCAAGGATGTGTGGGAAGGAGTGAATTTCAGAATGGTAGTATGTTTTACCCATTTTTTTATTTTTGGCTACTATAGTTAGAGAAAAATCTGTTTGTACTTGGAACAATGGGTTACCAAAGACATCCTTATCTCCTACTAGTCTTTATTAAGAAAAACTTCAGTGTGATGGGCATCTAACCAAAACCCATCTTAGTGATGGTATGTGAATTGCTTTAATAAAATCAAAATATTATTAATTCTGTCATAAAAAAAATACCCAGTTCCAGATTTTGTGCACTCATTCATTACTGTTGTCTTAAAATAGCAATGAAATGAGATGGCAAACTTTTTAAAAAGCAATTTAGTTGAGTAATTTCATGGCTGAGTTGAAGATGTACTCAATACAGCCTTTCATTTCAGAGACCTATTATGTTATGCTTACATCTGAAGCGAAAATGTTTAAATCTATCGCACAGTTGGTATAGTAAGAAAAATAGTTGATGTTTCTCCCATAATTTTGTTATCTATTTATCTGTCTTACATTCCTGTGCATATATATTAATAATACCTTTGCTTTAACTTGTAGATCTGGCAGTGTGGGGGAAAACTGTTGTTTGTTCCCTGTTCTCGTGTTGGACACATCTATCGTCTGCAGGGTTGGCAAGGAAATCCACCCCCTGTGTACGTTGGGTCTTCTCCTACATTAAAGGTACTGTTTTGCTGCAACCTTGAAGGTGGTTTTTGATTTTAGATAACAACAGTTTAAGATAAATCTATTTAAATTATTAGTAGCAATTTAGAGAGCACTTCATCCAAAGCTATTCAGTGTCTAAAGTAAAGAATGTCATCCCCATGGGAAGGAAATCTTTGTGCCAATCCCACTGTTGTAAAGACTAGAGGTTCCTGGAACCCATCTTCTTGCTCCACCCTGCTCCACCTTTGAGGTACAAACCACATTTCCTATTACTCTCAGCACCCCAAGCCTTTGCCGTGCTGTGCCCAACTGAAGTACGAACAACTCTAGTCACTCCGGGAGATGATGATCGTGGGTTTGAAATCACCCTTTGGTGATTGTAGGCTAAGGTAGCGAACGCTGTAATGTAGCATCTCTCAGACCTTTGTGGCTGCATTTGTTAATTAAGAAACAGTGAATGACACCTGGGAAAACGGTGTGCTCTGCACTTCATTGTAAAGGTTGGTAACTCCACAGGCACCTTGCAGGTTCAGAAGTGTTGCTTAAGCCATGATTTTAAAAATAGACATCACCTCAAGAAAAGAGTGACCCAGCTGCCTATATCTGAAGAGAAAATTTGAATCAAGAAAAACTGTTTCATGTAAGTTTGCACCTACCAGCAGGAAGAGAGACAACCCTCCTGTTAAGGTTTCCTATTACCTAGTTTAAGCTTTCTCTTGTGCAGTGTTTTGGCACTGGTAAATCCCATTCCCAAAGACCCAGTTCTTTGTAAATTCCAATCCCAGAGCCGTCTTCCTAGACGTTACCGATGATGATGACTATTGGTAGGGTTACAGAGTATGGCTTGAGCCAAGCTAGCAGTTGGTTCTGCTGAAATGGGAATGTCCCAGCCTAGCTTAATGGTAGAAAACTAACCTGACACTCTGAAAAAAAAAGGCCTGTATTAGTAATGTGAATTGATTAACATTTTGATCAAACAAGCACCAGGACCAGTGCAAGGGAGGGTAGGGGGAAGTGGGCATAGCTGGGAGTAGAGACAGAGCAATGGGAGGCAGGATAGCAAATGATAGCTCCATTGCTCAATGCAGGCAAGGTGTTTGTTTGCCTTGTCTGAAATTATAAAAACTATTTCACTCTTCTGAAAAGCTGATCAAAAATATGTACTGCATATCTAAACACCTTACATGAGTCTGCTTGTCTGCTTACTGAATACAACAAAACACTGCTGAGTGTTCTTAAATATTAAGTTGCTTCTCTGTACAAGGCAGGATGCAGGAGTAGGTTTCTCCCTCTTCGGGCACCCTCCTGTCCCCATAGCAAATGTGCTTTTTTATAGCTTTGTTCAATTTATGCTGGATGTGGATTAAAGTAAAGCTCACAATAATTTGTGCCTTTAGTCAGATCTATTAAAGTAGACTGTTTTAACACGAGGTCATTAATGCTAGCAGAACCGTACAAAGTGAGGTGTGCATCTAGAACTTGTACAGGTAATATAGAGATAAGAGCCACCAAAGAGACCGAGAAGAAGGATGTGACGGAGAGGTTTGTTCACCAGGCGACCTATCCATTTTTTCCCCTTCTCCAAGCAGCAATAAACTACTTTACTTAAGAAGATAAAATCTCGGTGTGTCATAGCTGACCTGTTTAAGACTTGTTTTTTTCACCCTTAGTGGACTAATGCATATCATTCTCTGTATTAAAACTGTAGAAGGTGAATAGAAACTCTAAATTGCAGTTCTTGTACACAGCAAATGATTGCAACATTTTATTGCACCCATAACTGAAGAGTCTTTATTTTCAAATAAACATTCTCTAAGCTTGGAAAAAGACTTCGTACTCTCATTAAGCAAGCCAGTTTATTTTGCTGGCTTCAATCCTAAACTGTCATTTGAAAATGATATGCATGTGTCTTGTATAATCTGCTGAAGGTGACAAATTATTAGTGCTATATAAAAATTTCATGCTGCCACTTTTTAAGAGGGGAAATCCTTAAATTTCTGGAATTAACACACAGTTGCATGTGACCCGTTGCGTGCGCTTTGAGTGTGCAGCAATGTCATTGTTCTTCACAGAACTATGTCAGAGTTGTAGAAGTGTGGTGGGACGAATACAAAGATTACTTTTATGCCAGTCGGCCAGAGACAAAAGCGCTGCCCTATGGAGATATATCTGAGCTGAAAAAATTCCGTGAAGATCACAACTGCAAAAGTTTTAAGTGGTTTATGGAAGAAATAGCGTATGATATAACTTCATATTATCCCTTACCACCTAAAAACGTGGACTGGGGAGAGGTAAGTACAGTACATAACCTGTATTTATTTTAGGAGATTTTTTTTTTTTTTAATTGGGAATTCAAAAGGAAGCAATTGTTACTTGACATCAGTCTGAGAACAGGCTCTTTGATTACTGGTATACTACGGTGTATGATACTAGCCAGAGAGCTATAGAGTTTGTAACCCTAGGAAAATAATTTTATATATATTTTAAGGGGTGCGATTTTTTTTTTTTTTTTTTTTTAGCTCCATAGGTCCTTGGATAATTTTATCTCTAGCCTTGTCTTCAATTATGTCTAAAACTCTTTTTTCCTTAATGGGAATTTAGGTTTTTTTAAAAGCAATATGCGAATCCTGTGTGTGTAGGAGTATTGGCAAAAAATTAATAGGTGAAAATCTTTTTCTGTGAAGGCCTAGAGAACAGATCGTGAAATCCAGGTGGAGTACATTCTGCCTACGTTTGCTGGCCTGGGAGGTACTCATACAGTTACAGCCTCAGTACATCCCTTATCTGCATGTAATAACTTGATGTGATTCCTTAACAGTCGTTTCCAGCATTATTGTATATGAGTATGACTTTACACTAAATTAGGAATGTGGTTACAAATTTGGCATTTTGGCGTGGTTGACAGAGAGAGACAGCATGTTGCCAGGTGAATGCAGGACACTTCACTGAACCCTGCCTGTTTCGTTCTGCCATCTAGCCCACACCTTGAGGAGCTTTTACTGCAGGTCTCCAGCCTGCTTTCAGATTTTTTTTTTTTTTTTTTGCCATTTTCAGTTGGTTCCAGCCTTGCCCTGTCTCTGCTATTAATTTCACTTTTGCAGATGGTGGAGGCAAAATCGGAAAATCATCTCACTAGCAGAGGAGGATTCCTGTGTCCCACCAAATTTAACAACCTTCTTTCCCAAGAAATGATGGACCCGTTTTTGTAACTTCAAAAAAGCATCAGAAAGTACAGATCTGTGCTGTTTCCTGTGGCCAAGCAAGTGCCATCTCTAATTTTTCTGAGGAATTAGTGATACAGAGCGTGTGCACGGTCGAAGAGGGTACAAATAGTCTTGGATCTGAGGGACCAGCTGAACAATGCCACCTTTTATTTCTTACCTAAAAGCTAGCACAAAGCATCAGTTACTACATTAGCCTTAGACCTCCTTTTGAAATGACATAAAGGGTTAGGAAGGTGCGTTATATGTTACTGTTCACTAAGGTGAAAGTATCTGAAGAGAATAAAATAATAATGGCCACCTTGTGGGAAATCATCCCTGATAAAAGCGAGTGGCTCCGGTGAAGTAACAGGAAAGTCGGAAGTTCAGAGACTTCTCTGAAGTTTTCTTCAATGCTTCTTCGCTGGCTGCTAGTTATCCTACATCTGAGAAATCCACCACCCCACGCCCCCCATTTGTAACACCGCACTAATTGCATTTCCAAACTGTCAGGAATGACAGTGTGGGGTTTGTCTTCCTTAACACTCTGTCTGGAAATCAGGTCTAAGCTTAGTCCTCTAGATTTTCTTCTACCATCACAAAGAAGGAGGAGGCTCTGCAAAGAAAATAGGTCTGGAAAGAATGTTATTGGTGTCATAAAGTCTTTGTAAAGTTGTTTGCTGGCCATTCTGAGAAGGAATGGGGTAATCAGCAGTTGAGGCATGCTTTCTGACAGGACTTTTGTTCTTTATCCCTATGCCTGTGCCTGCCCCTCATCAATTTTACCTCTTTTTTTCCATGTAATTGCTGCTGGAGGAGGTACATCTGAGCAGCCGGGTCAGTGGGCTGTGCCTGGCTGCAGTTAATAACTGCTGTGCATAACTTCTCTGCATCCCATTTCTCTCATCCACAGGATGAGAGCAACTTAGCTGAGTTCCTGCTTTATTTATGAAGACCTGGGAGACTGAACATGCTTTGATAGGAGATTGAATAAATTAAAGTACTTGGAAGTACTACATTTCGGTATAGTGTATATATAGCTCATTTTGGAAATGAGCTTTGCAACTTTAGCTTTATCAGCATACTCTAACTCACTAAGAGCCTGCAAATTAGCATGGGCAGCTTGAAGCTCCATCTCCCAGAATAGTTAACATCAGAATTTAAATTTCATGCACAGGTTTGTTTCGTATCTCTCTGTCAGGTATCTGTTTCTGGTTTGAAAGATATGTGGGAATTTTCTGAATTCCTTCATGCTTATTTTTTCCTTGAAACTAACTTAGAGTGCAAAACCTCTTTTCCAGATTAGAGGCTTTGAAACCGCTTACTGCATCGATAGCATGGGGCACACCAATGGTGGCTTCGTTGAGCTTGGGCCATGCCACAGAATGGGAGGAAATCAGGTAAGGAGCCTGGAGTCAAGTCTGAAGGAGAATCGCTTGCTGTGGATGGTAACAGGCTGGTTTTCTGTTAAGCCTGTACGTAAAGTCACTTAGGTGCCAGCTACAAACATGGGAGCTAGGGATTTTCTATAAGCATACTGACATTGCTAAAATATGGGAATCTGAAAGTATCATTTCAAACACAAACAGTACAAAATTGAAGGCAAATTCATAATCTCTTCTTCAGTGAAACAGGTATGTGAGGACGCAAGACCTGTGTTTTAAAGCAACCGTATCACTGCATTAGAATAACTGCAGCTCTTAGCATTGCTGCTGATTCATTATTTATCTTCACTTAATAATTAATCCTTCAGGAAACAACCCCTTACTTGCTTTGGATCAATTATTTCACAAAGTTGTTTTGCTATAATGAAAGTATAAAACTCTTTTGTGCAGTAACTCATCTTCCACCACAGAAGACAAGAAATTGAATACAAATTTCTTGCTGCTTCATTTACAAATTAATTGGCAGAACATGTTTACTAATAGATGGTTGCAATCCAAGCTGCTGTTGTGTTTGACCTGTATCTTCACAAACCTACCTGCACTACCACACAAACATGCTGTTCTGTCTTTACATCTCCTTTTTCAGTTGGAAAACTTGTAATTTTAAGTCCTTGTTTATGCTGATGTAGACTTGAACCAGGCAAGTTTTGTCACAGCAGTCTTGAAATCATGTGCAGGATGATGCTTTTAAAAATCATATTTGGGTTAGCTCTTGGTGGCCCCTGGAAATGTCTCTTTTATTTTGATACTTAATTAAAAAGTTCCCTAAACTACTTTTTCTGTATATGTTACCCCAAAAAACCCTTAACAATTACTTCATAAGAAGTAGCTAGGACAGCTAATGTATCTGGATGCATTAGTTTGATTTCCTCCATGGGTAAAATGCCGAAGTTTCACTGTCTTAACGTGAAATTACTGTCCAGGACCAAGGACTTGCTACCAGACTTTTAGAAAGATAGTGGATTGTTTGGCCATCAAATCATACAAAGGCTTTTAATCAAACACTTTCAGAAGCCTCCCAAATAGGAATCCCTTTACTCTTATCATTTTTGTCTTGCTAGCTAAGTTTCTTAGCCTTCTAAATCCTACTGGAAAGTTATCTGTGAAATTGAGTGTTGTGATAGTAAAAGTGCATTACATCATGTAAAATAAAGAACGCTTCTGAAAGATATGTGTAATAACACCAGAGAATATTTTGAATGGTGCAATTTTGTTGGTATTTTCAGTGTTTCTAAAATTCTCGTTATTTTGACTCAACTGTTAAAAAGGTGGCTTTCTTTTTTTCCTGTTAGCTTTTCCGAATCAATGAAGCTAATCAACTCATGCAGTACGATCAGTGCTTAACTAAAGGACCGGATGGATCCAAAATTATGATTACACACTGTAATCAGAATGAATACAAGGACTGGCAATACTTCAAGGTATGTAACAGATACATAGCAGAAAAGAAATTAGAATTTGCATCCTGATTTTTTGCACCTTTTTAAAATTATTTTATGTATATCTGAAATTAAAGATCTACAACAAGGTTAACTGAACCAAGTAGAGTAAATTGTTAATTGCACATTCTTGGAAATCCATGCTTGCCACGAAAACTTCCTCTAGGGAAAGATGCTTTTGCTAGTGGTTCTAGTTGCTGTCTTCTGTAGCAGAATCTTTAAGGAAAACCTGATGAAGCTACATGTGCTGCCACAGGTATGTTAGGAGTTCGCAGTTGTCTCAGAGGAACCAAAGAGGATGTCCACTACCAGCGACAGAGTTTCTAAAAGCTAGTAGTGTCGTCACCCTCTCTGCTTGTATGCTTTCTGTGAAGAAAGTTTCTTTATCTAATGTACACTGTGAGAAGATTACTTAAATGCTGATGTGCATTTAGCAGCTAGGGTCAATACTAAGTCTAATTTTGGGAGGTCTAAATTGAAGTGTTCCTCTGTTTAAAGACACATGATCTTTTTAAGCCTACGTAGGAATAGGTAAACATAGCATTACTCTGCCTTTTTGTGTTGTCTTTGCCTTCTTCAGTATTTCTTTTTCCTGTTCATTAGCTGTTTGCTAATAATATGCTCTGTTGTGAATACTGGGTGTGGCGCCATTGTAATGCTATTGCAAAATCTATGAATTTTTAATAAAGACTTGGAATGTTGGCCTATACACGTGAGGGCTGCTACAGTCTGTCTAGTCACTACATCTCTAAGTCCTCGCTAGCTTTGAAAGTGCTACTTTAAAAAATGTCTAAGGCTTGTCTCTTAAAAAGAGACCACATAGTCTAAGGGTGACGTTATCCTTGGATATAGTCACACGTAACTTGGTTTTGTGTCCAAGAAACTATTCTGTGTTGGATTTTTCTTCAGATTATCTAGTATATTACATATTTATTAATTCATTAGCTGGTTATCTGGATTGTGTTTGCCTGAAAGATGTAGGCACTGTTTGAGTGCAGCAAAATCTGTTTGTTATCCTTTAAGCCACTCCACGTTTTCTGGTATTTGCATAGAGCTAGGAAATACCAAGCACCGTAATGGATTTCCACCCAGCTTTCTTGTGCCATATAGAGAGACAAAATTCTTTAAACCTGAAATTTAAAAATCAATAACCAGAGTTTCAGTGCCTGCCAACTTCTGCTTTAATATTGGAATAATATATAGCACTTGTTAACTCTCCAGCCATTCTAGTGTGTCCCAGTATGTTACTTGGCTCTTCTCTAAGCATTTCTTTCATGCAAGAAGATCCATTTCCTCCACAGTGGTACCAAGTTGTGTAATTGTTTGCTTATTACCGCAAGTTATAAGGAAGCCCAGTAGGCACGGTCTGGGCTGTAGAACAAAACGCTGGCTGGCTTCCAGAAGGAAAAAAAAAGAAAAAGGGGGAGGGGGGTAAAAGCGGAAGGACCACCAAGGGTGTGTAACCAAGCAAATACTAGAAATTTGGCACACTCCACGGTGCAGTACAGAGGGTATGACCGTTTCTTCTAATGAGGAGGGTGTAAGGAGCGAAATGCTTATGAACTGCTGAAAAATGTTGTGGCCTTCTGTAAATGAAAGCTGCCAGGAGATTTTATCTGGTTGGTCGGTTGGTTGTTTCTGGAATAAACACTCGCGTGCCAGTTTGGTGAGCGTAACATCTGTGCTGCTTGAGCCTTGAGCGGCAGCAGGGCTTCGGTGCCCAGAAGCAAACATCCAGAACAGGGCTGGTGGCGGTCTGCCTGTTGCTTTTGTCCATTCATCTGTTGACCTCTCCCAGTAGAGGACCCCCACGACTGGCCACACGGCAGGAGCAGGTATCAAGCTGAACCAACATCTGGACACGCAGATGCGCGTGGGAGTGACGGGAGTGAGGAGGGAGAGGGTCCCTGTGCCGGGGCGTCCGGGCGCACGGGGCAGGGCTGCAGAGCCCCAGCCCGGCCGCAGGTTCGCTTCTGCTCCGTTGCTCTCCGCGCGAGATGCAACCGGTCAGCGCGTCGGGGCTGCGTCTGGCACAGGGGGTCAGCAAGCGGGAGAGGAGCCGCGGGCCGCTTTGCAGACGCGTGAGACTCGGGCACGGCAGCGCAGGGCGGGTGGAAGGAGCCAGGCGTGCGACTCTCAGCCTGAACGGGCCAGGCACAATAGGTCTGCAGTTTCTTAGGCGGCCTCCTGTTGCTCGGGAGGCCAGACTTGCTCGCATACCCTCTTCTCTTCTACCAGCCAAACGGAGCAAAGTAACTGGTTTGTTTGGTTTGGGTTTTTTTTCCCCCAGTGTGGTTCATGGTGGTGGCGTGCAGTTGCTTTATGTGAGGGCTAACCAAAGGAGGATCTGCCCAGTGAAGTCAGTTCTCATAGAGCTGTCCTCAAAAATGAATCTTTTGGTTTGGTTACAGGAAGGATGAAAAGGCTTGGAAGCATTTTAGACACGGTCCTGCTCATTTTCTTAGCAGTTTGTTGCCTAAGAGAAACGGGAGGCGTCTCAAGTGGACCTACACATATCAAACATTTCATAATACGAATGGCTGTGAAGGTCTAGGCTTAACAAACAGTAAAATGAGTATAGAACTGATCTGTTCTGGGACCCTAAAACCTGGTTTTGTAAACAGCTATATTGCAGTTGTGAAGAAAATGTTTAAAAAAAAAAAAAAAAACACCAAACCAAACACACATGTTCCTGATGGTTTTGTTTTCCAGAATCTGCACAGATTTACTCACATTCCATCAGGGAAGTGCTTGGATCGCTCCGAAGTCCTCCATCAAGTTTTCATTTCAGAGTGTGACTCCAGTAAAGCAACGCAAAAATGGGAAATGAACAACATCCTTAGTGTGTAGACAGACAAAACCTACCTACTGACAACATTAATTTGTACAGGACTGAAAATAGCCTGAAAACTGCTGCAATTATTAACTTTGTACAGCTGCGAGCCTCCTGGCTTGGATGAAGGACATAGAGGAACTGTGATTATTACAATAACATTATCATCCGCAGTTAATGTTTACAAAACTGCTTTACCTTAAACTCTGTAGATGTTTACATCTTTTTGTTTTAAGATGTTGGTCAATTAATGTGCTGTTAGCTATGTTTCATAGGAACATAGTTAAAAGCGTTGTCGTCTTCTTTGGGATTACACTCAGGGGTCTGAAGGCAGTTTTTTTACACACACTTGAAAAGGTTGGAGTAACCAGATTTTCACAGAACTTGGTGATTATCAACCTGTTGTATATTTTTATTTAATTTTACATCTTACTAAGCACTGCCACAGGTTATTAGCCAGGGTGGCCTTCTCTCACAGTCATGCTGCTTTTTTGGAAGGTGAATTTCAACATATTTAGTGCCTCTTTCATTTCTCTCTTTCACAAGAAAAGCATTTGTTGGAAATTATACAGTGGATTTTTCTGAGCTGTCACCAGGGGTAGGGACCAACCGTACTACCCTGTGTAATTATTGTGTTACCGAAGACAAATTTCTATTGCCAGTTCGGCTGCTCTACTTCAACTGGACACTGTACGGTGCAAGGAAGAGCTTAGTGTTGAGTTTAGTGCTAATGTGGTACATTTGGATGGAAGTAAGCACCCTCGCGATTCCAGTTAAGAATTTATAAGCACTAACTTGCTTGTTTAAACCATGCCTTACATAAAAATAATTTAAAAAATAAATAAAATAAAGCTGCACAATTATGTAAAACTTAGAAAGAATCCAATGCTTCATTTATATTGTTATTTTAAATGGAAATCACTGAAGAGGTGGACTAAAACTTTTAATTAGGAAAAAACATCCAGCTTCTTAACACATCTGTGTAATTCTTTACAAGGACATCTGTCAGCCAGTTTGGATGCCAGATTTAGATTTGAAAAGAGAAATGGAAATCCTGAAACCACATTTATTCATACTAATTTTCTTCTTTTTTTTGTCATTGGAAACTTCTCCTGAGGGATTACAAACACAAAATACAACTGCTTGGTGCTATAGTGTACAGAATAGAATGCGAAGAAGTTTCTAAAAATGTTCTGGAAAGGAGTTGGTGCAAACTCCCTTAGGAGTATAAATATTTACTCTGAGTGAACAGAGAGGTGGAGGAGAAATGACTTGTCCTCACTTCCTTATTCTAGATTTTGTGACTGTTAAATGTTGACATCAGTGTACTGATTTCATAAGAGTTATGCCTATAACATGTCACACTATTAAATATGACTAAATACTTCCCTGAAATCTAGAATAGCATTGCATGCAGCTTCCATTGATGTTAACAAGGGTTATGTATCATATTTGGTGACACAGTTTGATCTTTACAGGGCTGTCTGCACTGATCTATTAGTTTGGGATCTTTCCTAGTTTCTATAAACTTCTCATCTATCCTTTCAGAGCTATGAAAAATAGAAAATAAAGGAGGGGGAAACTGGAAAAAAAAGGAAGATAAGGGTGTGTGCCGGTACTTGTTCCTTGTGTGTATGAAAACTGACTCCATTTTTGTGTGTTGGGTAGATTAATTTAATCATACGACTATGCATAAGAGAAAGAATGGTGGCACATAAATTGTGCGGGTGTGCATTTTAAATGGGTATTTTGTGCAATTCATCGAAAGCTGATGCTGTATGTGAATATGAATCTGTATGTGAGACTGAAACCTTACAAAACATGAGATCGTAAGAAGCTGTTGCTGTAATGACTTTTTCCTACTATAGCTGGCTTGGAAAAAAATAATTCCCATATTCTTGCTTTGTAAGTTGATGATAATATCACTATGCATTTCTACATATTTTATAAATTTGATTTATGCAGATTTTGATACACTGTATGTTTCTGTAGAAATTGTATAAATCTTTAAAAAATTTATTAGGGATAAATCTGGGAAACCTATGTATATCTTACTTATGGGTTGCTGGTTTTTTAGGTGAAGTAAATAAAATATTTGAATTTTTGGGTTTACTATACTTTTACAGAGTAAAAATGGATTATTATCTTTATAGAAACCCCGTATCTCAAAATCTAGACAACTTCAGTGTCATGAGCTTACTAATATTAAAAGTGTTTTATTTTACGTTTTATCTAGGTTCCTTTTGTCTCATCCATGGGGACTCAGGTTTTTTTCCAGTGAAATGAAATGAAATTTCCACTGAGAGTTGCCACGTGGACACATTTGGATTTTTGTATCACCTACCCTGATCTAATTAGGTAGATTTAATATGCTAATAGAAAAATTAAATTGAGAATTATTTCTAAAGTAGAACCAGAGGTCAGGATTAGTTGGTAGTGTTTTGACTCTATATTTTATCTTAGTCCGTTTATGTTTCCACCAACAAACATGTTTCGAACAAACTTTTTTTTTTTCCTGAGAAGGTTTCTTAGCAAAAGAGTATGCAATTAAATTGGCACATGGAAGACCCAAGTTCTGGCCTAAGAGCAAACCTAAATGCTGAAATCTACAGTACTTCTTTACAGATGGGATTCTTGTTCCCTAGCCACATCTGTCAGTGCACTTTTGTGTATTCAGATTTTGAAAGGCTCCTTTGGCAAAACCCAGGGGGTATAGCAGCAAGCGGTTCATGTAGGGAATACCCTTTTATGTAGAGAAACAGGGATTGATAGGAAAGAGGGGACATCATTCTTCTTTATCAGAGATCCTAGCACCAGGAGAACTAACAGCACCCTTTGGGCAGTACCAAAGACGCTGTCCCCATTGATGGCATTGTAGAATTAATTCATCCTCTTTCCCTAATGCCAGTGAATCTCCTTTACTACTGTCTGCTTCTTCCATACTATCTGCCTCCAAATTGCGGTCCCTAAAGCCAGAAGTTAACAACTTACTACTATGAAACTAGACCAAGAAGCCTGAGATCTATTACATTATGCCAGGGATGTAAAAATTTCACATTTATCCCTGATCTGTGAGACTTTTCACAAGAAAAGAAAAAACATACTGCTGCCTATAAAAACACAAAAGGTGCTTTGGGAGATTTTGCTGTATATCAAGCACAACTTTCCCTATAGGTTAAAAAAGATCAAATTGTGCAAGATCCATGGAGACATAGGAATAAGGAGGAGAATTTCAGAACATGCAGAAGAAATGATCTATACCATTGAACGCAAACTGGTTTTTTGTAAAAGCATTTCTTGTTTGTTCCCTGCTGGTAAGCTTAGACCCATTAATTGTAATAGGTGAAAAGAAACAACTCAGGAGAAACAAATCAGCAGTGTTTCTGTTTCTGGTTGTTTTTCTCCTTGCTAGAGAAGGCATGGGAATACTAGGTCTTGCTGTGTTCTGAAATCCTGTCTTGCTGTTTTCTGAAATCTTATCTTGCTTACATTTATGAGAGCAATCCTTGAGAAGTGTCAGTGGTTATCTTCCAGGGTAATATTTACTTTCTGGGAACATGAGAAGCGGTTGCCAGCATTTAGTCTTCTGGTTGTTGACTTTACTTATCCTGCAAGCCTCCTCTGAACTCTTGTAGCGTTAGAATAGTACGTTGTGTAGTTTGGCTGGCACTGTATAGGAGGACTCTTTACATACAATAAGTCTAGGTAGAAAAAGTGATAGCCTGTCAAAAAATGTAGGTGAGTTTGCCTCCCTTTGGGTTTTTGGTGTTTTTTTTTTAAAAAAAAGCTACATGAACTGTGAGTGATCCCTGCAGACTGAAGCCCCCTTGGCCCTTCTTTCACTGTGGGGAGCCTCTGGTCATCTTCCCTCACCCGCTGCTGCCACAAGCATGTGCGTCGGCGTGTGCTGCCTCTCTCATCGCACCCTCAGCTGCATTAACCAGCATGGAGCACAGCAAAAGTGGGAAGAGGTGTTTGTGTGGATTATGCATCTTGGTAACCCAGTTAATGGTTAGTGACCTTTGGTTTTTAAATCAAAAAACCGAGTCCGTTCTTTACACTGAGAAACGAATTAAGTATTCTCCATTACCACGTAACATGGGTCCTGGTAAAAGAAAAAATAAGCTGTTGGCACAACCTTTAGGGTTTTTATCATGTTGCACTGCTCTGTGGCTGTTCTGAACAGCAGTGTGGATGGAGACTCTTCAGCAAGGCAGTGGAATAGCTTATGGTCTGACAGATCTTCACTGACTGATGAAAAATGCATATTCCCTCAGTTAACACATCAACAAAGGTGACAAGGATCAAAGCCTGTAAGGAGGAGTTAGAGCTGTTTAGACACCAAGATGAAAAGGTATGCTTGCGTGTTAGATCCCTTCTTTTTCTCACTAACAGACTTCACTGAAGAGAAACACGATTGCTTTAGGGACAAGAACTGTGCCCCATCCAAAGTGGTGTGCAGGTAAAGTAGGGCTGAGTGCTAGGTGCGTCCCGCAGGTCTCATGGATGCGATCGTTCAATGTGAAAGGAGAACTGCCTCCGGTGGGCTGCCAGTTCGAACAACTCGGCGGCGTTTCTTGTGCGAGAGTAATGTCTCCACAAGAAAGGAGCAGAAAGGTGGGAGAAGCAGCACAGCACTAACTCCTGTTAAAACAAATCAAAAACTCTAGTGCCTGAGGTGCGCATGATGGCAACAGCAGCCCTCTGGCTGAGCATCCCACGGGTCCTGAAAGGGGAAGGGAAAATGAACAGAGAGATGTTATTTTGCTTTCCTGGAAAGGGCTGCTGGTGGCAGTGTGTGTCAGTCAAAAAGGTGGCATGCCCAGACAGTTGTTCAAGCACAGTCTTCAAATGAAATTAAGATGTACTGCTTGGAATAGGCTTTCTGAATCACTTGAAGGCACTAGAGTGGAAATAGGAATCAAAATACAACCTCTTCCCTTTAAATTTGTGGAAGGATTTTCCCAGGAAAATAATGTAGGCCAGTATCTTTGAACAAGCCCTGACATTAAACGGTGGTGGATCTTTTGAGTATAAAGTTCTCTGGATCTTCTGTGTGTGGGTGCGTGTTCCCGGAGTTGGGCCTGTCACAAAGAGACAGGATTAGCGCTTACGGGTAACGAACGTGGGGCAGAGCCACGAAGACTCCTGCCTGCATTTCTGAGGGCTGCTGGGTGAAAAGGTGCCCTCTGCAAGCTGTGCCTCCGCACAGCCAGGGATCTCGTCCCACGGGGGGAGCACCGTGTCATTCTGGGGTACGCTCAGGAGACCCACCTGGCAATGGATGCTTTGCTAGCCGAAGCCTGCAGGATGGCTCGGCTGCCATCGGCGGCCATCAGCCCTCTTGCTGGAGTCCCCAAGGCCATCACAGCTGCCCAACAGGCAGCTATGATTGCAATTCTCATATTTTTATTTCTGAGGCAGCAGAAACAATGAACGGAAGTAGAACTGGATGAAAGTAGAAGCCTTCTGGAGGATTCTTGTGGGTTCATAAGAAGGGAGATTTGGGAAGAGCTGAACAGGAGAAAAAGCACGCCAAGCTCTCGAAGTGCTTCTAGTCATACCGCTCTTTCAGTTGCACTGAGGGATGCCCTGAAGTCCTACCTGTCCTGAAAATGCCACGGAACCTCTAAAGACAGAGCTAATCAACCTGGCGGTGGAAGGGAAAGCTGCCTGTCCTGTTGCCTGGGAGTGAAGGTAAGATGGCGTGGGTGTTGCTGAGGAAAACAATTCTGTTACCCTGTAGCAGAGTGGAGTCTGGTTCCTACTGGTATTAAAGCTATTAGGGATAAAGTAATGTTGAACAGGGCCATTCCCAGTTGGAGATAGGAATCACTCCTGCCTTTTTTTTTTTTTTTTCCTGTTACAGTATCCCATTATCTTCTATGTGATGATTATGAGAGGAATCAAGTCTGCACTCCAGAAATACCAGGACCCTTTGTCTCTGATGGACAAAGTTGAAAAATATTTTGCCTTAGGATGAGAAGTGAGCTTAACATAAGAACTTAAAAAGTACATGCAAGATCAGACCAAAAGTCCAGCTAGCATAGTAGCCTGTCTCCCTCAGTGATCAGTAGGATCAATGTGGTCAAGGAGTACAGGGCAGAGTAAAAGGACGGGCAAGGGTCTAGCATTGTCCCTACTTCTGGCAATATACAACTGAAGCACTGTCTGAGCTAGAGATGGCGTTTTCTATTTAATAGTCCAGAATTTGTCTAACTGCTGTTTGAATCTAGGCAGACTTTGGTCATCCGTCACATCTGATTATCCAAAAGGTTTCAAGGTTGCTGAAGAGGCATGCTGGCTCTGCGGTTCGTTCCTCTGCTGAGACAAATCAGTGAGATATAGAAGAACTATGAAGGCTTGTTAAAGGTCTTAATTCCTGAAGGGAGTAGTTAGTGCTAGGTCAGTGCTGGGGCCAGCCAGCCAGGAGCTGGCTTCAAGGTGGCAGCACTGACAGTAACATCATCACAGCACGTTTTTCACAGGGTTTTCTAGAAGGATGTGGTCTTGTCCACACAAACATCATTCCTTCAGCTCTGCTGGAGAACTGATTTATGGGTACAAACTTTACCATTAGATGTTTGGGCCAGGAAATACTGAGAGTAGCCATACAACTTAGAGGTGGAACACCAGATTTGCAGGCTATAAAGATTTTTCTGGTGGTTGATTCCATGTTCAGTCCTGGAACATCAAGACCCTCTCCAACACTGAGGCTAGGGGGGGGATAATTGATCTCAGGACATCAGGATAGTCAGAGCAATGTACAGGTTCACTCACTAATTGGTGCTGGCCTGTGACATTTACTTAATCGCACCAATGAAGAGAAATCTGCATAGGCAGTCAGCTTTTTTTGCCAGGTAGGTCTGAATCTCATGCACATCCCATAGTTAGCAGAGTTAATGTGTTCCTTAAGGAGAACGCAGCAGCAAGCTCGACATCTGGGCTCCGTTACAGGATTCTTGACACTGGATTCAAATGGGATCATGGAAAAGCAGATGGGGCTGTGATGCAGCTCATAGGAGAGGCCCAGCAATTTTGGAAATGCAGGAGTTGCTGACAAAACACATATATTTCAAGATGTGGCAAGAAATGCAAGCCAAAATGAGAAAACAAG